AGAAAACCGACTTTGACAAATAAGACTAAAATCCAATATAAAAGGAAGTTAGAATATGAAATTTATAAGTTTAAAATTTTAATTTATTTAAGATATTAGGCCTTTATTGTAAACGAATGAGTGTTACGATAAAATTATAAATATTTTTTATTTATATTTCAATGATTTAGATTTGAATGAGTCTTATTAGGTGCGTAGTCGCTTTTATTAAGATTTACTTTAATTCACAATGTGAAATTTTTCGAAATGTATCCAAATTTACTGGTCCTCTAATATAGGACACCAAGTGAAAATAAAAAAACAAATTGAAATTATTACTTTGAATTGAATAGTTAATTTGCAATTTGTAATTTATTTAAAAAATTAATAAGCCTATGAGAAGTATAGTATATAGACAGAGATTGGGGCAAAAACCTATTCTAATTTATTTTCATCTTAAAAAAAAAACAATTAGATGATGACAAGAATATATTATGACATAATTTCGTTGTTTTCTTGTTGTCTTCTCCATTCTTATTTAGTTACAACTTACAACTAGTATTATTTTACATTTTAATTGTTTTAATCATGTGGAATGTGGTTAGCAGCTACTCTAAACATATTATTTTTATTTAGTTCCACTAATAGATCAATAAACTTAAAAATTAGCGGTGACTACCAACAACACGCTAAAAATCGTCTAAAACAATCCGTAATCACAAAAATCAAAATCAAAATATATTAATATTTGAGGAACTTAAAATGCTAATATATCCTTTTAAGCAACTGTATTGCTTGTGGAGAGATAGCATTTGATTAAATATTTAATTGATGTAAGACTACTTCATTTACTATTTTAAAATCAATAAAATGAAATAAGTCAGAAGAAATAGAACAATAATTTAATGCAAACCTATACCAATCACTCATTTTACACCTATAATGAGATACGATATGGGTGTGGTGGAGTCAAAAAATTTATTGAGCGTTCTTATTTTTGGGGTGTACTTATTAAAATATCAAAAAGTAGCTATACGTAAAAAAATAATATAAGAAGAGTCAACATATATATATATATATATATATATATATATATATATATATGCGCCTGCGTACGCGCACACATAATTAAAATTTCAACCTAGTTAAATAGTATAATTTTTTGATGAAGGGGTATTTTTTGATACTTTCAAGATAAGGTGGCACCGAATAACTCGATGAAGTATTGCAATTAATAATTAGGAAATACTATTAAACCCATTTAATGAATATTTATTTTTATTCTATTAAAACTGATTAAGTTGGTTTGTAGGGCCGGCTCTTGCCTATAAAATTTTAGGCATTGGGGGCCTCAAATTTTTATAAATAAAAAATTATGTATCTTAACCCCATTCAAATAGAAGAAATTAAGGAAACATTGATTTGGATTCTTACATTTTCTTCCTTAACATTCACATTATTTATCCTTTGTAACTCTTTTTGCACTCTATTTCTTCAAATCTTTGATAGTTAGAGTAATACACTCTCAAAAATATGAATCAATAGTCGAAAAGTGTTGAACAAAGTGCATTACAAATTCTTTTTTTAAATTTATTTGTTAATTTTCATATTAAAGTAGGTATACCAAGTTATCAACTTTTTGAATCAAATTCTATGATTCTAACTGTTATCTTTAAAGTTTATCAACTTATTACTTATAAAATTGTGTTAATAATTCATATAATAATTGTCTTAATAAAAGGATGTTTTTCAATGTTGAATTGATAAAATCTTACTTAAAACTAATAATTAAAAAAAAAGTGTTTGAAAAATCATTTATATAAAAGATATTAAGTAGTAATTTACGTCTAGAAATTTAGAAAAATAAATAGATATAGATAAAATTTATATAGATTTTAGGCCTCTAATTAATAAAAATTTCGCTTTAGGCCACAAATTATGTTGAGCCGCCCCTGTTGGTTTAGTTTTGATTTTGATCAATAATCGATCCAAACCAACCCGTGAACACCCCTACTCACATATATAGTTAAGAATTAGGATCTCGAAAATTCTTTTTGGGATAATATTCATATATAATAATCTTTTTGGCTTTTTGCACCTCCATATATTTCATTAATATCCCAATTTTTTTCATGAAGATTATGTAATTTAATTCTTTTTTTAAGGTTACATCAATATCATCATTTTCACCACTTTGATAGCATAGTTTATTACTATATAACTCCAATAACTAATGAATTCAAAAAGTAGTTTCCAATTAATATCTAATTAATGTTACTCCATAATTTGATTTCATCATACATTTCTGTATAGCCTTTTTCTATTTCGCTTTCTATTTTCCATTTTTTTTTAATTACATAATAACACGGCTTAAAATAATATAATCTATAAAAATTCCTATCATTTGAATTAATTATAAAAATTCCTTATTTCCTTCTCTCTCTTAACATCTGGATACATCACTCCACCTCTAGGCTCTATCATATAACTTTGTTTGTGTATAATGTGGGTACAAACGGTATTGTTGTTACAAAACCCCAATTATTTCAAACATAAATCAGTATGAATCTGATTTATCTATGTATTTGATACATAACTTATGTATCGCAATATATCCATGAGTTCTCTTCTGTACTTTTTTAAAATTTCCGATCTAATATACTGTACGCAACATGAAACCCCGATAAAATTTGAATTATTGTTATTATTTTTTTGTCTAAATCAAATTTATGAAAATGACAAGGACGGGCCATGTCTTGAATGTGTGTTGACACATTTTGGTGTTTAGTACCATTATTAAAATCTCTTGGCCCTGCATAATCAATCAACCTCCTCAGATAACTTTTAAAATTAAGTTGTAAATTATCTTAATTGCATTGGCATATTCGATGGCGAAATCAATTTTTTTTAATAAAAGAATTTAGAATATTTTTTTAGAAAATACCCAAAGAAGTCAAAAGAATTTCAGCTTTATTACATATATAAAAAATAATTTTAATATTATATATTTAGTCTAATATTTTTTTTAATTGAATTAATCATCTCCTTCCGATCACTTGTCAACGATAAGGGTGGAAGGAAGTAGAGAGGTAAAAGGAGGTTCATTTAACTTTTTTATTTATTTAAGTCGTTATACTATTTTTAGAGTTAATTTAAGGCTTCCTTAATTGGGTCTATTGCTTGTTTGTTGAGATGTGGAACTATAACACATCCTTAACTGAATAAAAAATATTCTATCTTTCATTTTTTAAAAATTGAAATGCAAGGAAAACAAAATCTATGAGTGATAATTTTTAGAACAAATTACTATTAACACAAAATCAACAAGTTCAATCGAATAAATAATGAATCTTAGGGAAAGATTAAGTTTGTAAGGACCACAAGAACGTAGGCTTAATAGTGATAGTAACTATCTAACATTAACACTAGAAATCAAAAGGAAATTGTGGATAAAAGATCGAGAAATAATAAGCAAACGTATTATAAAATATGATAGAATTTTGGACAATTAAATCAAAAGTTTAAATTTAAATCATCAGATATATTTGCTACATTTAATTAAATAGTACTTATTTACTATAATTTTTTTAAATAATGAAACGCGCAAAATATAAATAATAAGTAATACATAAATAATTAAATTTTCATAACTAATATTTACATAAAATTACATAATTAGCATATCGAGATTTTTTTTATCTTTTTCATAGTTGATCTTCAACATTAATTACTTATTTTACATTATTTTTTAAAATTTATTACTATATATAAATTAATATAAATATTATAATAAAATACTCACATTTATAATTTAAGAGGTACATAAAACAAATGGAATCAATTACAAATATAAACCGAATCACAATTGCAAGTAAAATGGACAATATTTAAGTGGACCCATTTTTTTTGTTGTGTAAAAATATGAATAAGCAATACAATTATAAGTAAATAAGCAAATATTCAAGTGACCCCCAATTTTATTTGATATGTAGAAAAGTGTAACAAATCCACAAGACCACAGAGGAGCACTATGCCGCAGCAGCAGGGGTAAACAGCCCCCTAAATATGTGGCCCCAAATGCCAAGCAAGGACCACCTGTGCTAGTACCGTTTCCAGCAAGTAGTGGTGCAAAGAGCTCTCCAGCCTAATACCTATCTATATAAGCAGAAGAGATACAATCAAAGAGGGCAGGAATGAGTTGTCTTTTAATTTCTTAGCTTTGTAGTAGTCTGGAACCTCCCTCCGTTCTTGTTTTTTTTATATATTTTTTTAAGCTTTACTACAACTTTCAGTAATTGTAAGTTGCTATCTATCTTTCAATACAAGTTCATCTGTTCCAAAAAGTGAATAAGCAAGCAAGAATATTGACGTATTATATTAAAAAGTGAACAAGTCAAACTAAAAATACATATATTTGTCAATAGATAAAATTGAAAATTCAAATTTTCACATTTTCTCATGCATATAAGTTTGACTTTTAACTTATATATATATATAATTAATTCTTTTATATTATATATAGTTATTTTATTTGAGTCAGAAATATATCAAAAATAATTTACTCCCTCCGTCCACGTTTATTGTCATGTGCATTTTTTAAAGTCAATTTGACTAATTTTTAAAGTTGAATTAGATTACATTAATTCGATGTTTTATTTGCAACAAACATTCCATGTTTTTTATCATCCCATTTGTATACTGAAATATACAAATGTATGACTCATTTGTATACTGAAATATACAAATGCATGACCCATTTGTATACCGAAATATACAAATGCAAAACCGATTTGTATAGCAAAATATACAAATGCAGGACCCATTTGTACATCGAAATATACAAATAGACCCACATACATATTTTTTTATGTATATATATACCGAAATATACAGATTAATAGCCATAACTAACATGAAATTTGTTATGGAGCGCAATTATACAAACTATAGCTATAGCATACAAATATGATTTTTACGTTTGCTAAACCTAAAATTCACTCTATTATTTAAGATTATTTATGTAACTGCCCCTCACAAGAAAAAGACTCCGGCTGACTTCCAGCCTATAAATAGGCTGTATGTAAGCATGTGTTATTTCTATTCCAGTTCCATAAGACACAGGGCAACGCAACAGTAACAGAAGCAAAAAATTTAAAGTGAAAAAAAATGGCGGAATCGAATGGGAATTCAGAAACTCAATTTCAAATTCCGAAAATTAAGTTCACAAAGCTGTTCATCAATGGTGAATTCGTCGATTCCGTTTCAGGTTTGATAGATTTATACCTTTCTAATTTCTATTTTCTTCTGTTTAATTCCGTGAATGAATCAATAAAATCAAAGAAAATCAGTTATATGTTGCAGATTCGAGTTTTGAATGTTTCTATAAAATGCTTTTTGAATCAAATCTGTTCGTTTTTGTGCGATTGTGTGTAGAATTTCTCTGTCGCCGCCATTAATGGTGATTTAATTGACTCCGTTTCAGGTTAAGTAATTATACCTTTTTTAAAAAAATTACACTGAATCTGTTTGTGAAATTGGATCAATGAATCTGTTTGCAGCAGCTTCAAATCCAATCTCTGTTAGGGTCCATTTGTTATGCTTGACGAGCATAGATAGTTTCGAGATAGAAATTTAGTACGATCTTATTTCTCCGGATAAAGTAGGAAAAATCTTTTGGGGTTCGTAAACACAAATCAAATTTAGTACTATCTTATCTCGAGATAAAATAGGAAAAAATTTTAGAGGTTGGTCAATAATCAATACAAACCATTCCTTTTTTTCTTGTATGAATATATGTGATAGGTTTGGAATTCAAATAATTTTTGTAATATATATTTTAAAATATTTTGAATTATCAAAATTATAATTTATAGTATCTTTTACATAGTTTTTAAGTATGTAAAAATAATTAATTTTAAAAAAATTTAATATGAATTTACGGTTAAAATTATATTGTTTGATTTTCAAATTCAAATTATGCTACATAAATTGAGACACGTAAAAAATAATAAATAAAATAATGAAAGTTTTTATAAATATTTTTCTTTGATAAATTACCCAATATATATATATATATATAAGAAATGATTGTATATAAAATATTATTTTTATCGAGAATAATCAAATGAACAATTTTACCTTTCTTAGATTTATTTCGTGACAAGTAAAATGAACCGGAGAGAGAAGCACATCCCCTCGTGGGTTGCACCATGTGCGACAATTACAATCCTTCCTAAAATAATTTTGTAGTTGTTGTAGTGATTGAGTGGTGGACTCTATAGATATTTTTTTGGCATTTTGTGTCATGTGCATATTTAGAAAGCCACATATTTTTGTTTGATTTTTTTTTTTTTGCTCAATAAGTGAGATCTAGTTTAGACATTTGCTAAATAAAGAAATTTGTGTTATTTATTTTTAAAATGAACTAAAAAGAAAAAATGTTATATATATGAGATAAAAAATATAATAGATATTAAATTTTTTGATATCTTTATATTTTTATTTTTTCGTGAAAAATTTAATTATATTACGTTAAATACAGGAAATACGTTTGAAACGATAGATCCAAGAAATGAGGAGGTTATTGCAAGAATTAGTGAAGGTGACAAGGAGGATGTTGATTTGGCTGTCAAAGCCGCCCGTGAAGCTTTCGACAATGGCCCTTGGCCTCGCTTATCCCCCTCGGTAAACTGTGTTTTATTCGTTTTAATTTATATAATATAGTTCGTTATAAAGTTTAAATGAATAAATTAATGAAGTTCCTTGAAATTTGTACTTTTTTTTACTTTGTTGATATTATTATTTTTTTATTAATCTATTTTTTTTAAAATGACACATTTTATATATGGAAATATCTAATTGCATTATCTGTAATAAACATAATTTATAGTCACACAATTATTATGAAATATTTAAAATTATGAATTTTCGAATATTTCATAATATTTGTGTGATTATAAATTATAAAAATGTTCTTGTTTAGAATCATAATTTACAAAAGGTAAATAGGTATATGTCAAAAGTTTGACCATCCATTAAGTAGTTTTGTAGAACACTTCTGTTGACAAATTTGTTTCAAAGGTACAAACATACCTAAATTTAGCGGCGGATTCAAGAATTTCATTAATGAGGTTTAAAAAGTAAAAATATAATGCTTGAAATTTAAAGTTAAAAATATCAAGCTGAATTTTAAATTAGTTTATTTCTAATCTCGTGTTTAAAAAATTTAAAATCTAAATATATACACAGTATAATTGTTTTACCAAAAGATTCGAATAAATACCTTTTGGTTCCCCTAGATCCGCACTTGTACCTAATGTATCTTTTGACATTCATATGTTTCTAAAGGTACAACATACCTAATATGTTAAAATCAAGTTGTGTGCAAGTTGACTTAGACCATATTACAAAAATGGAAAATATTAGTAATAAATTTCAAAATTCATTCTATTGTCCAATTGTGACAATTGTCTTTTTAATTGTTATGGCAACTACAATAAAGTGAAAAAGCACCTTTTAAAAGGTAAAATATTTTTATAGGTAATTAATAATTAGTCACACGCTACTGAATGAATGGAATCTTATTTTATTTTATTTTATTTAGTCACAACATGATATTTTATAAATGATGGTAATGTTATATAGCTTGTTTACTCTTGTGTTTTTTCAAATTTATTTTGAAATACGTGTTTATTGACCCAAATCTGCGTACATATTATTCTTTCCAAACATCAATTGTAGTTGGCAAATGTTATAGCCATCATTATACTAATATAAACTTATTATTCTCTCCGTTTTAATTTGTTTTCTTTTACTTTTCTTTTTTGTCCGTTTAAAAAAGAATGCTTCTTTTCATTTTTTACAAATCTTTAATAACAACTTTTCGCATAACATATTTAAAACAGCAAAATTAAAGGACTTTTTGCTATATTCTACGTATTTTTAATTTAAAATCATAATATTCACAAAATTTCATTATTTTCTTTGATTCCGTCCCAAGTCTAAAGATAAACAAATTGAAACGTGAAGTATAACTTTGGGAAGCAGACAATTATGACAAAAGTTGCAAATATTTTCTGCAATATTGGTTGGTAGGGTGGAAAATTGAAAAAGATTTGACGCTAAAAGGAAAGATTTTTTCCCCTCTCCTTCCATTTTTTGACTTTATTTAAAATCTTTTATAAAGGCAACAGTATTGCAATTAAAAAAAGATAATGTTTAAATCATAATAGTGACATAAAGAGATGGAACCTGAAAACATCATAATCAATTAAAATAATTCTCATTCATCTAAATTTAAGATGATTTATTTGACTAAACACGAAATTTAAGAAAAAAAAATTGTAACTTGTGGCTCTTAATTTGGCTATAACATTTGTGTAGTAGCAAGACTTTCAAAACTCATGGTCGTCATAGCGTTTGTATTGGTATAACATATAGGAAGTTTAAATTAGATTGTTTTCAAATTAAGAAAAACGTTATTCTTTTTTAAATCGACTGAAAATAGTTCACCAGACGTTACAAAAAGATGAAAGAAAGGAATGACCTTTAACTAATGTGAATTTCTTAGTACATAGCAACAAAAATGTCTATGTATTTCTTAGATTAATCCTGTTAACTATTTGTTATATATTGACCGAATCAGGTTAAATTTGTGTCTCCTTTATTTTCTTGACTTTCCATTAGTATTTTTTTTTTGTTATTGTAATTAATTATAGCATTGATGGGCAAAATTCCGCACTATCCCAGTTCTCAATCCTAACCGTCATGTCTAAGAGACGTAACAACAACCGCTCACCCAATATAATTCTACATGTGGGGTCTGGAAAGGGTAATCTGTACGCAGATCTTACCCTTACAGTGGATGGTAGGTTGTTTTCGGCTTAAGGAGAAATGAAAAAGAAGCAGTAATATAAATCTAAGAGAAGTAACATTGAAAAATATAGCCTCACTTTGAGAAAATCTTTTAGTAATTAATATGTTATGCTCAGTTTCATGGTTAAACTCATTATTCTTGTTTATTTTGATTCAATTAACCTACTATTGAGTTGATTTTGCAACTTCTTGAATTCAACTTTGCATTGTCTTACGCCCCGTTGGTGTTACATTCAGGAGAGGAGAAGGATAATGCTGAAATTCGCGGATTTAATGGTAGAAAATGCAGAGGAAATAGCAGCATTGGATGCAATGGATGCAGGGAAGTTATTTGTTCCTGTAAAGAACATGGACATTCCAGCTGCAGCCGAAGTTATTCGCTATTATGCTGGTGCAGCCGATAAAATCCATGGAACGACTCTCAAAATGTCACGCGAGTTACAAGGATACACATTGCTCGAACCAATTGGTGTTGTCGGACACATTATTCCTTGGAATTTCCCAACTCAGATGTTTGTTATGAAGGTTGCCCCTGCATTAGCAGCTGGTTGCACTATGATTGTCAAACCTGCCGAACAAACTCCTCTTTCCGCTCTCTATTATGCTCAATTGGCTAAGCAGGTAATATCTCGTTCTCATCTACACGAAACTCTCATGCCAGATCAGTTAATTATATGACACTTGAAATTCTCTGTTTTCTCTGTTTCAAAACAGGCAGGTGTTCCCGATGGGGTGATCAATGTCGTAACAGGATTTGGTTCTACTGCTGGTGCTGCACTTTGCTCGCATATGGACGTAGACAAGGTGATTCCCAATTGACATATTTGTAAATGAAAGTTAGAGTACTGCCTTAGCTAATCATACCGGTTTGTAATGTGTGTGTTTTATTCAGATAAGCTTCACAGGTTCGACAGAAGTAGGACGTCTAGTAATGCAGGCTGCAGCATTAAGTAATTTAAAACCTGTCTCGCTAGAATTGGGAGGGAAGTCGCCTTTTATAGTATTCGATGATGTAGATGTTGACAAAGTTGCACCACTTGCCCTAGTTGGAATCCTATACAACAAGGTAAAATCGAATTCCATATTTTTCATTATTCATCATTTCTTATTATGTCTCAAAACATACAAGTGAGGTAATTTGGGTCGTTCCTTGCTTTCGATTCTTTTCTAGGGAGAAATTTGTGTTGCTGGATCTCGTCTTTTCATCCAAGAAGGTATTTACGACAAATTTGTCAAGAAATTGGAAAAGATGGCGAAAACATGGGTGGTTGGTGATCCTTTTGATCCAAATTCTCATCAAGGACCTCAAGTATACATTTGAACTGTTCTTTTTAAGATGTTTCTACTTGTCTTTATCAAAATCGCAAATGTATTTCACCGTGTCTATATCTAACTCACTGTTTACCTGATTCAGGTTGATAAAAAACAGTATGAGAGAGTACTTTCGTACATTGAATATGGCAAGAGGGAGGGTGCAAAATTGCTAACGGGGGGCAATGCATTGGATAGGAAGGGTTATTTCATTGAGCCAACCATATTTATTGATGTTGAAGTAAGCATTTTGAACTTATCATTGTTGCATTTTGAATGCTGAGATGAAATATACAATATATTACTTACATCTTCATAGATAAGAGGGTATGAAGGTCGCAGATTAGGGTAGAAGGCTAGTAAGTAATTGAGTGTTGGCTTGCATTTCAACGAGATTAGGCTTGATGGTAGTCTGGTGCATTGTGTCTGTCATAGTATTAGCCTTATTCATGTAGGATTTCACCGGCTATTCAGTCTCTCTTACGTCTTCATAATGCTTTTGGCAGGATGATATGACAATTGCAAAAGAAGAAATATTTGGACCTGTACTGGCAGTAATGAAGTTCAAGTAAGTTCACCTCCGTTATTAGCATTTTCAAAGAGTAAACAGAGTTTAAGTTCTATGCACTGACGTGATATAACTTAAAAAATCAATATCTCGATGAATTTCAGGACGGTAGAGGAGGTGATCAAGAGAGCTAACTGTACAAATTATGGACTAGCAGCAGGTGTTATGACCAATGACTTGAACATTGCTAACACAGTTTCAAGATCGATTCGAGCTGGTGTTATCTGGATAAACTGTTACTTTGCTTTCGATCCGGATTGCCCATTTGGAGGATACAAATGCAGTGGCTTTGAAAGAGATTTGGGAATGGAAGGACTTCATAAGTATCTTCAAGTTAAATCTGTAGCCACTCCTATTTACAACTCTCCTTGGTTGTAAATTTGCAGAAAGATTTTTACTATATGCCATAGTATCTCTCATGTTATACCATATGACCAGAAAATAATTTTTTCTTGTTGGTTTGATGTCTTTGGATTTTGGGCTATAGAAAAAGTTCAGTTGGACAAAATTTACATGTTCTTGATTTGGGACATTTGTTAAAGTACGAGCTCGATAGAATTCAATAATTTTTGTTCAAACCCTATGAATTGAGAAATTTACTGAATGTGGAGTAATAAATTTCATAACTTTCATATTTTGAATTCTACAACCATCTTCTATTGCATAATATTATGATCAACAACATAAATCTACCAAGAGAGGTGACATGATATAATATTAATTAAGTGAAATGGAGATGTTGAAAATCTACTCGGTGTAGCTCTACAAAGTGAGATTTGAGGAGGATACAATATACATAAATCTTACCTCTACTTCAAAGGTGAGGTAGAGAGGCTGGTTTCGATAGACCCTCAGTTCAAGATAAAAATAGTCTAGAAAAAGACATAATGAAATACAAGAGATAACATATAGTAACAAAGCAACAGATAGTAGCAGAACAATACTACAACATAAATAATATTACAATCGGACTACACAAAACAATATATAGTAATAGAAATTGAAGAACAAGAAACTATACCCGCCCCGACCCAACACTCCATTACACAGAGACTGTTTCATAATGCAACATTATTTTTGTATCGCATGTTCCACTTTAATAATTGAATACAAATAGTATCCTCTTATATAATTTTTGGGCAAATTTTAATTTCATTCGTTTTTTTTCATTTCTTTTTCCAAAATAAATTAACTTTATAATAATTATTACATGACTCAATGAGTGACTATTCTTGTGGTTGTTGCCTGAATAAAAAATTAACATATTTTTGGCACTAATTAGTATTAACTTATTAAAATATATCCGATTGTTAAGAATAAATAATTCATCTATCTCAATTTATGTGATGATATAGAGTCAAGTGAATTGTTTTATGACTATAATTTTTCTTTTAAAATTATTAATTATCATGATTTATATTACTTTTTATGTAATTCTCAAATAAGTAAATGAGTATTATTTCAAAAAATTTAAAGATTTATATTCAATCACATGATTAAAATTAAGGAGTTTGAATATTAAAAAGTAAAAAGTGTTGCATAAATTAAGACAAAGGGAGTAGCAAACTGTGCGTGTTGGACCAACTATTTTTAATTTGCCTTTCGATGTTCGTTATATTGTATGGAACTCCTGATTAATTAAATTATTGTGAATTATTAATTATCTTGACTTATGGCCATACAAGTACTAGATGCAATAGATAAGGTCCCACAAGTTTGAAATTCACCGTTGGTCAAATTCTCAATGAAAAAAATGTTTCTAAATCGAATATGAAAGTAGTTTCCTAGCAAACAATTTTTCCTATAACTCTATTCATAACCAAAACTTCTAATAAGAATAGAAGCATTTCAATCATTCCACTACCATCTGTGTCTATCCATTCAATTATTTACCTGTTAATAATTGCTTTCCTGAATTTGATACCAAAAAAATTATAGGATAAAGGAAAAATGGAAACTTTAATTTATGACACATTCATCGTAAGGAAATATTAAAAAAAAAAGGGACATTTTTTAATCAAATGTAGTATGTGTTTTTTGGTACCATAAAAGTTACTTACTCCACTATCATGAAAAATTTATTTTCCACAAAAAATATTCCTTTACAAAAATAAAATAAAAAAATATATTGCAGGTAGGAAAAAGGAAAATGAGAGGGGATTACATGGTGGGAATTGGATCCTCACTGATAAGGTGAAAGTTCACGTAAACAATCAACTGAACTATAACTAACAGTCTGTTTAAAAAGTTTAATAGTATTTGATTGATAAATGATTAATTAACGAAACCAAAGTGCATAGGAATATTTTTGCTTGTAGTCCGTAAAATTTCGCGCCAAATCAAATACTATCAGATGAGATGAAATGGAGTATTTGATATGTGATTAGTGCTTCTCTTAGGGTGTGTTGGGATCGAAGGAAAATATTTTCCATGAAAATAAATGAGTTTCTTACTTATTTTCTTGTGTCTAATATGTAACCAAAAAATATTATATATTCTTAAAGCATTTGCATATAATTTAGACAAATACAATGAGAGGTAAGAGTGAGAGGGTGGGGGATGGGTTACATCTATGTTGTTCGGACTCTCTACTTTCAATGCCGTATCCGTGTCAAATACTCTAAAAATACACACTACTACTTTGTGAGAATCCGACACACACCCGTTGGTATTTCTATAGAGTCCGAGCAACATAGGATTACAGGTAGGAAGTGAAGATGAGATATGTGCAAAATAGATAAACATAAACATACTCTGTAATAAGTATGAACTATTACTAGTGGAACTTGTTTTCCCCTATTTTTATTAAAAAAATATTTTTTCGTTTTCAAAAAGATTATTTTTCAGTATTTTCCAAATTTTTTAAAGTAACCACACCCTTGAGTCAAATTAACTTGGTTAGGTGCAAATAATAAGCACATAAAAGTTTTTAACCTATTGATTTGGTAGCACTGAATGCCTATATATACACTCATATTGAAGTCACAATAATAACAAGCCAATTTTTCTTAATTTTTTTTGCAACCAAAAAAAAAAAAAAGATAATGCAGTCTAAAGATAGTTCAAAATCTAACTTCAATATTCCAAAGATTAAGTTCACACAGCTATTCATCAATGGAGAATTTGTGGATTCTGTTTCAGGTTTTATTCTTATCAGTTTTACCTTGTCTCTATTTGTTTATCCTAGATGTTGGTCAGACTCTCCAAAAATGTTATTGTACGTGTACATGAAGTATTTAATATGCACCCTACTACATTTTTGAATTATACTAGTAACATAAGTTGGAATAAGAAACAATTTCTCTGTTTCAGTTCCCTCTTCCTAATGATATTATTCTTTCTATTCCATCCCAATTTATGTGGCACGATCGTTGGAATTTTGAGGGTCAACCAAGTTTTTCTTTGATCAGAATTTCTTTATACGCCTTTTAGTTAATTATTGTGATTTATAGTATCTTTTGCGTAGGTAAATTTTATGTTTGAATTTACGGTCTTTATAGAAGTTTAAATATCGAAATTTGAACTGTCACATAAATTGGGACAGAAGAAGTATATACTATTACATTAAAGCTCTATGATGAAAGGGGGAAAAGTTTTGATTTTGAAGATCCTAATAAAGTATACAGGAGCTATATGTATGGTGTTTAGAGCCTGTTTGACTTAGCAGATTAAAAGTAGTTGATAAACAGTAAAGTCGGATTCAGGATTTGAAGTTTATGTGTTCGTACAACCATTTCTAGTTAATATTGCAAGTTCACATACTTATAGATACTTGGTAGATTTTCTCAATATAGAAGAGAGTGTTTATTGATCTAACAAAAGCTATTGGGTTCACGTGAACCTGTAATCAGGCCTCGAGACCCACCCTTGGCCCTCGTGTGTCTGGATAGAGTGTTGAAACGGATTATAAGCATAAAAGAGAGATGTTTATTGTACTGAATTAGGAACAAATTCGACTAGGCATGATAAGATACGAAAATGTAGAAGTTGAAAAAAAATATTGGAAATTTGTTCTGCAGGAAAGATGTTTGAAACGATTGATCCAAGAAATGAGGAGGTGATTGCAAGTGTTGCTGAAGGTGACAAAGACGACGTTGATTTGGCTGTCAAAGCTGCACGTGAAGCTTTCGACAATGGCCCTTGGCCTCGCTTATCACCCAAGGTAACTTTATGTAACAACTAAAATACTAGTAAGTACTACTATATCAAATGATGATCAAGTGATCGATATGGATTACCTTAGCCTATGATTGCCTGAACATATATACTAGTCTACGCTAAGTTCACATTCCAAACTTGTCTTGATACTGAGAGTTCAATGGATGGGATAACGATCACGATTTTTGTGTCATACGTTGTGACTGTTTTTGTCTTAATTTCAAATGATGTACTTTCATGTTCATATTGGAACTGCTTAATCAGGAGAGGAGAAGGATAATGCTGAAGTTTGCGGACTTGATCCTAGAACATGTCGAGGAAATAGCAGCTTTGGATGCAATGGATGCAGGAAAGTTGTTTAGTGTTGTTAAGACTGGTGACATACCTAATGTAGCAGACGTTCTCTGTTATTATGCTGGTGCAGCGGATAAAATTCATGGAACGACTCTCAAGATGTCACGTGAGTTACAAGGATACACATTGCTCGAACCAATTGGTGTTGTTGGACTCATTATTCCTTGGAATTTCCCAAGCCCGCTGCTTATGCATAAGGTTGCCCCTGCATTAGCTGCTGGTTGCACCGTGGTCGTTAAGCCTGCTGAACAAACTCCTCTTTCTGCTCTCTATTATGCTTATTTGGCTAAGCAGGTATTCATCTTCACTCAGAGGTGGATCCAGGATTTAAAGTTTATAGATTCAACTTTTTTAACGTTCTTAACACTGAACCCATTGTGCTTTAGAAATACTCCCTCCGTTTCAATCTTGTTTGTCTTAGTTTGACTAGGCACTTAGATTAAAAAAATAAAGAAGACTTTTGAATTTGTGGTTGTTAACTAAAGATATGTATAATGTACCAAAATGTCTATTGATCTTGTGGTCTTAAACATGTCTTGTGGAATATTGAAACGAAAGAGTTGTCAAATTAGGAAAGAGACATTCTTTTTAAAATGGACTAAAAAGGAAATTTAAGACAAACATATTGAAACAGATGGAGCAATAGGTTTGAAATCTAATGTTTGTTAAAATTCTGTGATTTTTCATGTATATATCTATGCTCCATGTAAAAATTATTGAATTCAGTTGAACCCGTAGCTCAAATGCCCCATCCGACATCATCTACACAATGAACTACTTGATCAAACTGACATCATTCTATCGGTTGTATACTTTCTTGAATCAGGCTGGAATTCCGGATGGAGTGGTCAATGTGGTAACAGGATTTGGACCTACTGCTGGTGCTGCACTTAGCTCTCATATGGATGTAGACAAGGTAAAATTCCCAACTGTCCATGAAAGTTATAAAAGATAGAGTGACGTAGCCAGGATTTTCACTACAGGCGAGT